GGATATGGCCTCGGTACACGCCCTGCGCGTCGGCAATTGATCTTGCTCGAATCGCAAACAGATAGGCTTCCTGCGATTCACATATGCGATACGCGCATCCACTGAAACCTTGGAATGGAAAGCGCCAAGGCAGTATTGGCACTAGACTCGAGGCAACTGAAGTAAACAAAACAGAAACTAAGTCGGCCTTGGCCGCCTTGAGGCCAGCACGCTGGGCTTGAAGCTGCATAAGTTCGCCAAAATGATCAGACCTGAATTGCCCCCGACACAAGGTAATATTACAATTGTCTTTCTCCCCGATTTCACAGGTGGCCATCAAAGAGACTTTTCTGCCCTGGCCCCCAAACATTGAGAAGTGTTCAATGAGCTTTCCCCCAAATTTGACTCTGGAAGGGTTGACTCGTTAGCAAACGGAGCGAACGGAGGTACTGCCAAAGGACAAGCTGAAACACATAGATGAGCCGACGTGAAAAGCATCACGGCCGAAAACATGTGCTTTCACGCTGGAAAACAAGCTTTCACAACATTTTCACAACATTCTCACGGCGATGTCACGCTATGTTGGCGTAGCCCTCCCTGGCATCTTTGTAGAAAACAAATCGGGCCATGGCTGGCCTGTTGGACCACTTCTCCTTGAAGCCACTGTCAAATAGCGACTCAGCAACACGTTGTCCGAAGTTGAAGTCGGTCGTAGCACCGATTGCCATGGCCTGTGAAGAAACACGCTCACTGATTGCTGGGTAGCCTTGCAAGGCCTTCTCGCGGGTTTCTTTGTCGTAGATCATATCCGGATAGTACTCCTGGAACGTTGTGTTTCGTGATCTGTCTTCGCTGCTTATCGGGCACCCAATCAACCCCATATTGGTGAGCGCATGGCGGCTCAGAAGGTATTACCAGTAGCAGAGAGCGCATCGTTCAGCATCATGTTGATTTGGGATATGTCAGACACGTCAAGCATATCGTTTGGCATGGACGCATCAGACATGTCAGGTGCGTCAGGCAGGTCAGATATTCTCGTTTGGCACATAAAACACGTCAGACACGTTAAACCCAACAGACACGTCAAAAGACAGATCAGACAGGTCAGACACGCCAGACATGACAGGTTGCGGCATCCTGACACAACCGATACGCGAAACTGCGTGCGACACCACCTGAACTGTCGAACCCATTCCACTCAGAAACCCGCCCCGTAGGAAACCCAGTTGGTTCCTGCATCTTGGCCGCCTCCTAATTAGCTTGGTCAGCCCCAGCTCCAAGAGATGGGTGCAAAGCTTTCCACCGACGGGTTCACTTTCACACGCATTTCGCAATCCTTTTCATTGCCATGTCTGGCCCTCGTGTGCAATTTGCTCGCGAGCTGTGGTCGCAGCCAGTGTGCGTTGCCCAGATTCACATTTGAAGGGCGCGCACCACCATCGTCATCACCTTGGCAACAGCTTGTTGCTGCAAGCGCTCACGACATCCGAACTTGACCAAATCTGGAGCGTCTTAAGCATGCTAAGGTCTTCTCCAAGAACAGGGGCATTCTTCACAAGGGATACTTTTCAGGTGAAAAAGCACAGCTGTGGAAACATACAGAAACATGCAGGAAAATACATTTTCATACTGGAAAGAAAGGTGTCCAACATAGAAGAATCCCTGTCTACATTTGAAAGAAGGGTGTCCAAAAAACAAATCTCTAGTCATGTAGGAAAAAGCAGGGTGCCCCGAATGGATAGGTCCCGAGTCATGTTGGAAAGAAGGGTGTCCAGAAAAGATTGGCTGGACAGGAACAGCATGGTCAAGGCATGCTGCGGGGTCCTTGCAGCCCTTATGCTTGGTGATGGCTGCAGTTTTGGGCTAGTGCTTGCTAGACTTGGCTGTGCCATGAGAGAGTGGTGAACATGCCACAGCATCGCAAAAAGAAGGAGACCACCTTGCCTGAGTGCCTTGGGCAAAAGCCATGCTGTGATTTGAGTGCAGCTGCAATCCCAAAGGGAAAACCCAGGCAGGTTATAAGTGACTGAGGCACATGATGCCTTACCCCAACAATAGATATGGGCTGCTACCTCCAGTGCAGCCTCTACAGCCAGTTGGGTTTGCTCCTCCTGCTGCTGCTGCTGGTGGTGGGTTCATGGCACCCTGGGGTTCCCAACCTTATGCCAGTTTTGGAGGCCCTGGGAGCTACCCTTTGCCCAGTGGATCAGCGACAGCTAGCGATCGTGCACCTTCAGAATCTGGCCCAGAGCCTTGCGATGATGACGATGACGATGATGATGATGCTGAAGAAGAAGACAGCTCTTTGGTTAAATTTGTCATTTCAAGAATGTTGCTTGGTTGTGGAGACCATGTGACCATGTAGCTACCAGGCTCCAGCTCGGATGACAAGCCCTTTGACTGCAAACACACCACTTGGCTGGGCTGAGCAGGTTCCATGTGAGTGCTTTGGAAGGCGTGCTGCCTGATTAAGGTCCAGTGGCCACAAGAAGAAAAAGAAGGGGTCCAAGACGAAGAAGAAGAAGCAGAAGGGCCACAAGGGCAAAAAGAAAGGGAAGCCAGCCAAAAAGCAAGACAGAGCCTTGCTGAAGACAATGGCTTGTGTGCTTCCTTTCCTTGCTGTGGATGCCAACTGATTGTGTGCTGTGTTGCTTGTTTGGTTTTTTGGTTTGCTCTCTCAGTTTGTGCCTGTGTGGGTGTATGTGTGTGTGCCGAGTTCCAGATCTACCCTGGAACCACTTCATGAGTCTTCATGAGTCATAGCAGGGGGACGTGGCGTGCAATCAGGAACCACGTCCAAACGAAGCTACCTGATTGCAAGGGAAGCAGAGCCTGATCAGCTCTGTGTACCTGCGAGTGATACAATGTCCTTTTGGCCGCTGTTTCTCTCGCTGTAAGTGCTTCTTGTTGATTCTGTAGCGGTTTCGATTTTACCGGAAAGCCAAGTGTCTTGCAAGCCGAAAGTTGTACTCGAAAGTTGTACTCGGAAGTTGTACTCGAAGATAAGCAACCTCCTTAGGGAGTTCAAGTGTGTGTTCCTTTTGTGGGCATATGTGGTTGTGCTTGCTTTGTGTGTGTGTGTGCGTGTGCAACCTGAGGTTCATCTGAAGATGCTGACAGAACCTTGGATGGAGCATTGCAGGGCTTGGAGCAGGAAATGCATTGTCACAGGGGTGCGGGTGTAGGGGTGGTTGGATGGATGTGCCCAGGTGCTGACCTGGACAAGAGAGACATCCCTAAGACCAACCTTGCAAAGACAGCCACGAAGGGAGGGAAGAACAACATCTTTCCAAGGAGCCCCAATGCTGCAAGGGCTCAAAGTGGTTGGTTGTTGTTTGTGCTTGGCAGGAGAGACAGCCTAAGATTCCTCAAGTACTTGGACCCTGACAGATTCCCTGATGGCCAGCCTTGACACAGATTAGGGTTGCAACTTGTGGTTGCAAGCTTGCTTTGGTTGGCTGGCCTGGGCATGCACAACCCTTTGCCAGGCTTGAGGCAGCAGCTGGATGAGGTTGGCATTGGCCAGGCCTACTTCCTCTTGACTGGACTACCACCATTTTTGAAAGTGAGGGACTTGAGGGCTTCTACAAGGGGGCAATTGCCCCTTTGATGCAAACACCCTTTAGGCAACCATTGTGTGTGTGTGTCTCCTGCTTGGCTACCACTAGCTTAGGAAAGAGAAGCTGAAAGAAGCAAAAGAGAGGTTTGAAAAAAGAATTGGATGCCAACGGTTCCAGGAGGTCAACCCTGATTACAGCAACTTAGAACCTTGGCTTTGTTGGTCACACACAAACACACACGACCAGTTTGTGCTACCACCCAGACTGTAAGGATGAAGTTGCCAAGAAGTATGGATGGGAGGATGCTTATCATGGCAAGTACCCCCATTCTTTGGCGGTGCCTTGGCACAGTGGCTTGTAAGGCCCCTTTCATTCTTCACGGCCCAGGGCCAGGCACCTGGTGATGACAATAGGCCTGCATTCCTGGTTGAGCAGGCGAAGTCAGGTGACTCTTGGCTTTTCTCAAAGGATGGTGCCATGCCTTAAAGAGAGAACTGGTGCAGGGGGTTGGCAGGGTTGGCGTCGCCAATTTTGTGGTGATTTGCAAGTCCTGCCCAGGTGGTCCTGGGAAAATGGTGATTCCAGCTGGAATTCCTGCCCAAAAGGTCTATCAGAATGGGAGGTGGGGTTGGGTTTGTGCCTGCTGCCACCTATGAACATTCATGCAGGTACATGCTGCAGGGGCCAGCCCCAGACTTCAAGATGATGACATGCCAGGAGGTGTTCAAGGAAGATGGCAAATATGCAGAATGGGTGAAATCCTTGGTGGCTTGGAGGTTCATTTGGGGCAAGTGTGCGCATTGCTCATGCTCACACAGCCTTGCACCATGTTCAAGCTTAGATTTCTTTTGCAAGGTGGAAGCAGCCAACAAGAACAAGGGCCAGCAGTGGGCAGAAAAATTGCTCCATATGCAGGATGTCCAGGTTTTTGAGCCCAAGGAGCCCCCCAAGCAAAGAAGCATTCATGATGCCTTCATGGCAGCAAAGGACAGTGCCTTGACAGTTGGAGGTGCCTGGGTGGGGCCGTTGTGCGCACACAGTAACATAGCCACCAAACAAGCCAGCCTTAAGCCTTGCAGGCAGCAGAGGCAGTGGAAGTGAAGGAAGAGCAGCTGAGGAGCAAATGGTGGAGGCAAGAAATGCTGCAAAGGAGCCATTCCAGGATGAGCCTGCAGAAGCAGACTTGCAAGCAGAGTTCAGGGTGTGGCTTGAGCAGAGGAAGAGGCAGCAGGTGGCAGCAGCAGAGTCAAAGCGAAAGCAGTGTGAGAAGGATGAGCTGAACACAAACGCAGAAGATGGAATGGCCAGGGCGAAGAAAGCAAAAGCGCATGAGGATGCATTGCAGAAGGATGCAATGGAAGAGGAGGCCATGAGGAGAGCTGCAGAGCAGAGGGAGGCAAGGAGGGAAGCTGAGGAGGCTGCAGCACAGAAGAGGAAGGAGGCAGAGGCTGCTGAGCTGGTGGCCAGCGAGGAGGAAGTCAGGAGGTGGGTAGAAGCAGGAGCTAGGAAGAAGGCAGAAAATGCAGAGGCCGCCAAGAAAGCCGAAGAGGGGGCTTTGAGAGCAGCAACAGCAGCAGCAGCAGCAGCAGAGCAAGGAAAGAAACGGGCAGAGGAGGCTGAGAAGGTGAAGCTTGAAAAGGAGGCACAGATGCAGCAGATGAAGATAGAGCAGGAAGTCAGAAGGAGGGTAGATGAACTTGTGAGGAAGAAGGCTGAGGAAAAGCAGGCTGCTGAGGAGAAGGCAAGAATGAGGCAAGCTGCCAGGAAGGCTGCAGAGGAGAAGGAGCTGAGAAGGTTGGCAAGGGATGAGGAGGCTGCCGCAAAGGCTGCGGCAGAGGAAATGCAGAGGCTGGCGCAAGAGAAGGAAGCAGAGGAGGCTGCTAAGAAAGCAGAGGCAGAGGAGCAATTGGTGAGGAGGCTGGCAGAAGAAGAACTGAAGAGGCTTGAGGAAAAGGAGGCTGCAATGAAAGCTGCAGAGGAGGAGCAGAGGAGGCTAGCAGAGAGAGAGCTGACAAGACGTGCTGAAGCAAAGGAAGCTGCAAGGAAAGCTGCAGCAGAGGAAGCTGAAGCACAGGAGCAGAGGAGGCTTGCAGAGGAGGAGCAGAGGAGGTTTGCAGAGGCAGCTGCAGCAGAGGAGCAGAGGAGGCTTGCAAAGGAGGAGGAAGCTGCAGCAGAGGAGCAGAGGAGGTTTGCAGAGGCAGTTGCAGCAGAGGAGCAGAGGAGGCTTGCAGAGGAGGAGAAGAGGAGGTTTGTAGAGGAAG